GAGAGAGAGAGAGAGAGAGAGAGAGAGAGAGAGAGAGAGAGAGAGAGAGAGAGAGAGAGAGTCGTCTCGCGCATGCGGTGCCGATGTGGACGCTTGGGTCGTTCACCTTCTGGGCGGCATTCCTCCGCTCTTCTGTCGTTTCCGTGTCCTCGCCGGCGTAGTGGATCCGACTCGCAGCTTTGTCGCCGCGATTGTGACGTGGCTAAATCACACACACACACGGAGAAACGGATTTCTGGGGCAAAATTCCTTGGACTTGAGAGAGAGAGAGAGAGAGAGATTTTCTCATGACGTCCCACATCCACCAACGGTCGTCACCATCACGAATCTTGCCGCTCAAGCGTTCTTATTTCACTTCGTTAGTGGCTGCGGCGCCCGAGAGAGGGAGGTCGATCAGGCATAGCGTGCACTATTCACCAGAGGCGAGGACGTTGTAGCCTTATATCTTCCTGCAGCTTTTGCTTGAGATCCATTCTCGTACTTCATGAATTAATCAATTATATGTGATGTACTATAGTGTGACAATATGACCAAACGACAACACGACGAATGCCAATAGTAAAAGGAAGGCAGCTGGCTGTGACAGAAGCATGTGCAACGATAGGAGGATGGAGGGAAGGTAGTAAGTGATGGCAATAGGTGAGAATATCAGGATATCATATGTACGTGGAAGGAGGAGAGATTTCATAGACGCAGAGGCGTACCTACGGGAAGAGAGATGCGTACTATGGAGAGGTGTCATGTATGATGGGGAAAATAAAATATACTAGTCATAAATACAGATGTAAGATGATTGATCTGTCGTTTACATATGATATTGAGATAGATAAAAGAAGGAAAACACAGAAAAAGAGAAGTAGAGATAGATACAGCATACACGCGGGGATGGGTGGTTGTAGACATGACGTGTGAGAGGAAATAAAATGCCAAACCGAGGATTGGGCTCGTTCGGTTCCCCCCCCTGTATGCGCCCCCGAGGGGTGACAAGCCAGGAAATAGCGAACGTCGATTCTGATTACGGCGGTGGAGAGAGAGAGAGAGAGAGAGAGAGAGAGAGAGAGAGAGAGAGAGAGAGAGAGAGAGAGAGAGAGAGAGAGAGAGAGAGAGAGATCAACCTCCCTGTGTGGCGCCGCCCCTCAAGATGGACGTGACATTTTTATTAGGACGATGGATAGATCATCTTGAAGAGGACCCGCGTACCTTAAGAGATCATTCGTGGTGGTTAACTGTTCGCTGTGTGTTGGGAGGGAAGGTGAGGACGGGCGGGAAGAGACCGTTAACAGGGAGGGGAAGCCGCATGGTGTCAGTGTACAAGGTGAATCCACGAGGCAACAACGCGGCAGGGATCATAATCAAGCAAAAATGGAAAGTCGATCAATCAGCCAAGCAATCAGCAAATCAGATGTCATAATCCTTTCAACAACCCTATCAAGGAATCGATGGATAAACCGGTGGGTCATCAAACGTCATGCTATCACGAGGTCCCATCAAATGCTACGCAATCGCGAGGGGTTAGGTCCCCAACCACCACGGGATTCTTGAATCGAGACACACGCCCGACGCCATCGTGGCACAATCACGACGCAATCCCGACACGAACGGTACGCGAGTACTACCTACCCAATCACGGCCGACCAATTAGTGGTCATCAGTCTCGGGTACTATCTACCCATTCACAACTGACCAATTAACGGCTTTTGACCAAAATTTACCACCCACGTTTTCACGTGAACCAACCAACCCACTGCCGACGGACTGTCGTTTGAGATATGCCCTCCAATCTTGTGTGCCTATCCTTTTCGCTGGCCTTGCTCGCACCCTTGGGTCCCCTCTTTGTTCCTCTCTCCTCTCCATGTAAATACACAGGAGAGGAGAGCGATGAAAAGGCCTCGCAACATGGCGCACGACACCAGAAAACAGTGCATCTGCCCAAAGAAGGTGGCAAGATATATTCGTTACTGCTCATGGCAACGGATGAATCTTTCCAGGTGGTGTGGGAAGATGCACTCGTTTCTTTTTCGTTTCGTGTGCCGTGTGGCGCTGCCCAAAGACTCGTTGCCCCTATCCCCTCCGCTGTACTTGCTCTCCTCTGCGCTTGTACAGCGACCAGCTTGGTTGGCACTCTTGTTTGTTTGTTTGATTTTTTCCTCCTTTTTTGGGGACCATTTGCTAGTCTGTCTGTGTATAGTTCTTGTTGTTTTAACGGATGTCCCGAACGGCATGCGACTCGTCCGGTGCCCCTTGATTGAAAACAATGAAATATATTCACGAACGAATCGCAAACAACAGCATGTAGGACACGCAGAGCCGTCAAAGAGAGACGCAAGGCAAGTCAAATTTGTCCCCGCCCGTATTGGTTCAGCGGTCTGTGTTGTTTATTTTGTTATAGATATGAAAACATCTCGCTGTTGCTCTTTTCTCGGGGTGGGGAAGAGCGATCCTACTGATAAAGGGTGAAAGGTCTGAACAGGAAAATGTGGGATCAGAAGAACAGAAGCGACGGGATTAGCGAAGCACAGGAATGGAAAAAAAAAGAGAGGAAAAAAGGCGAAATTACCCGGTAGGTATCCAAAGCCGGTCCCACTTGCCAATATACCCACACGCAGCCGAATAGGCGGACACCCCTGTACATACACACGCAGTATTATTGTATAGACCTGCTCGCAGGGTTAAAAAAGGCCCGTTAGCCTCCAGTTTTTTACTTGATATGAGTTCTACCGGCGAGACAGATGCTCACGTGTGTGTGTGTGTGTGTGTGTGTGTGTGTGTGTGTGTGTGTGTGTGTGTGTGTGTTGTGGCGAATGCCACAGACTAAGCGAGAAAAGGAGAAGAAGCGATCTAGTGCATCCATCCCCAAAATGCGCAGAACAGACGAATAAGTGAAGCGATCTAGTGCATCCATTCCAAAACGCGCAGAGTAGACGGAAAAAATTCTTTCTTTTTGGATTGCTTTGGCCTTCAATTGCAGTAATACTCTTCTGTGTCGAACATGGGGGGAAGTAGTAATAATGCAGGAGAAGAACGCAGTACTTTCGGATCCGTTATATTCTCCACCTGTCCTTCCCCACCATCGTGAAAAAGGAAGAAAGGAAGCAGCCGATTCGATCAAGTCGGCTGGAACAGAGGCTAATCGATTTGAAACAGTTCTTAGGGGTTCGGCAGATGGACTGATGGGCTTAGTCCCGAGGCATCGCGATCCGGATCGGTCACGTTATTCACATTTATTTTGTTGTCTTACAACGGACGTGTGAAATGAAATTGGTGAGTCCTTATCCGTCAGTCCAATGCATCCTGGGCGGACTGTGGGTCGGGGTTCAACGTCCTGGTGAGTCGGTGAAAGTCCACCGAAACAGTCTCTCGCACAGTCGTGCTTTTTTCTGTGGACTTGCCTATAGCGAACGAACATGACAACACACTCAAAGAAAGAGGGGAGCTACAAGAAGAAATGAATGTAAAACTCACCCCAAAAAAGGCCGAATTGAGGAAGGTGAAGAAAGAACTGCAGAAACGAATGGCTGTCTGCCGGTCTCTCTCTTTTTGCGCACTCGTACATGTCACAATAGTTCTTGGGAAAATACAAGGACATGTGAGAAAGAAGGGAGGTCGGTAAAATCACGGATCGCTTGTGCAGCAGCTGGCACCGTAGTTTTTTTTTTTTTTTTTTTTTTTTTGGGAGCACCGTGGAAGCAAATGTATCTTTTGTAAAAAGAAAGAGAAAATAATTTTACTATTTTAGTGATGAGGAAGAAAAATGCAATGCAGCAAATGTATCTTTTGTAAAAAGAAAGAGAAAATAATTTTACTATTTTAGTGATGAGGAAGAAAAATGCAATGTAAGTGAAAAGGAAAAAAAAGCAATTTTAGTAAAAAGCAAGGGCAAAGCAGTTTTTTTTAGTAAAAAGAAAGAAAAAAGCAATTGTAGTATAAAGAAAGAAAAGTGGTTGTAGTCCTTGGGCGAAAGAGAAGCAAATTTTTCATCCTTCCCCCTTTCCCCCCGTACCCCCCGCGCCCGCCCCCCCCAAAAAACCGTCTACCATCGCCTCGAGTCCTCGACATAGCTAAATGAGGAAGAAGTGCTCTCACCTCTCTCTGTACGGGCCTTCTCCAGTCTATCATCGCCTCGACGTCAGCTGAATGAGAAAGAAGTGCTCCCGACTCTCTTTGGACGGGCCTTCCCCGGCCTATCCTTTTTCTTTCTTGAACGACCTGTAGCGGCGGTGTCGTAGCACGTGCAGCTCTGCTGCGCCTGAGTGATTAACAAGCCTCCGTGCTAGCCTGTGTTCGAAAACAAATTTTCTCTTTTCTTCCTTTTAA